TCAGAGCCACATCAGTCTGATGGCCTCCTTATTTCAATAAAGTGAACCCCACATTTCTGACAGGAAGCTTACTTCCTACAGTTCTGCCTTCAGGTTCTACTGTAAACTTCAAACATCACTGCTGCCAACTCAGGTGGCACAGCTGAGTTTATTTGGTAGTTTTCTTTTCCAAAATGTGGGCAAGAAAATTCCATATGGAGATTATTTCATGGCAACATCAGAATGCTGTGTATGGCTTATATTTTTGTAGTTCTATTTAGGAAGTGTTTTGTTTTTTAAAATATATATGTAGTTTAGATCACAAACTAACCAAATATAGTAGCCCTGCATCACAGTACCATAAAATCCTTTCATTTTATTAAATTCTAAAGGGCCGTTGCAAGCAGATTTCTGCAAGAATAGGGCTTCCTGCGGCCAGAGCGAAGATGGGCTTTGCTCCCTTCTCCGCTGCCTCAGCTCCCTCCCTTCTCCGCCACTTCGCTCCCTTCTGCAGCACTTGGCTTCCTTCTAGGCTGCCTTCAGTCTTCATTCTGCCCCTGTGTATGCAAACTAACCGCTATCTTTGCTGGGTTAATTTGCATACCCACCCTGATTGGCTGGTGGGCGTAGCAGAGTGACAAAAATTTGCATGTTTCTCTTTTATTAGTGTAGATCTTGGCAATGAATTCATAATCTATATCTCAGTCTAGATTTAGATGAGTTTCTGCTGTAGTTGTAGTCTCCTTTTATATGAGAGCTGTTGGTTTGTTATCTGGTTAGACAGAAGTTAATCTCATTCTTGATAAATTTTATTTAAAATGTTTTTTGTGTGTCATGTATAATGATGGGGGGAAAAAACCTCTGAAAAAATGTTATGTGTGGGCATGTGTATGTGTATGTAAACTGACATATGTATGGCCGTACCTATTCATGTAATGATTGTAAAAATAAGAATTGTTAGTGAGTACACCTCAAAAATTTGAATACTTCTCTATAGCATTTACACATGAATTTCTAACATGGCTTCCAAAGCGCATTACTCTCTAAATCCTAGCGATAGAAATGCATGAGCTTGCACGGGACTGCTTCTCTTAGGCTCCAGGTATTTGAGCAGAAAAGGCTACTCTCTAAAGTTCTCAGAGCTAAACTTCAGAGGCACACGAGAACTTTGAATGTTCTGAGATTTAATATGAGCAATCGCCTTGCTCTTTTGCCTGGCTGGTAAATCATGTACTCCTGAGAGTAACATTTGCCTTTTTAAAAGGCTCCTTTTGAAAACAAAAACAAAAACAAACTCAAAATAGAGCTGAAATAGGAGCACTGTGTGCTTTCTTCCAATACAAACCTACCAAAACAGGAAACGGATTGGCTTTTCAACTTAAAACCCAGTAGGAAAAAGGGGGTGAGGGGGATGACTTTTAATGAAAAACGTATCTAAAGTTCTTTTTACTAAATAGAAGGAAAACTACAAATTACTGGAGAGTTTAAGCATTCTTATTAGTGGAGGTATATAAGTATATGTACATTATGTCTAAAAACACCTGGAGGGCAAAATAACCCTTTATTGTGGAGTTTAATATCTAGTCCTAGCCATGCGCCACCTCCAAGCTCAAGAAATAGGACAGTCCTGTAGGAAACTGACAGTCCCGAGTCCAAGTTGCAAGCATTCCAACAATACCTGTGTATATTTCTCACGCAGAATGGAGAGGAAAATGGTTTTCAGAACCAAAATCATAACCAGAAAGAGGTGTTACATAAAAGAGTAGCCAAAATTATACCACGTGAGATGAAAATCGTATTTCCTTAGCTTGTGTATGTGTCACTCCAATCTCTGCCTCCATCTTCCTGTGCCCGACTCAGTTGCATGCTGTTGGGAGAGACTGACCTTGACCTGGATCCTGGCCTCAGCAAATGCCCTGCGTGGCAGCATCATTAGAACCAGAAAGAGGTGTTACATAAAAGAGTAGCCACAATTATACCACATGAGATGAAAATCATATTTCCTTAGCTTGTATATGCGTCACTCCAATCTCTGCTTCCATCTTCCTGTGCCTGACTCGGTTACATGCTGTTGGGAGAGACCGACCTTGGCCTGGATCCTGGCTCCAGCAAATGCCCTGCCGTGGCAGCATCGTTAACAGACCATGGCCTTGCCAGCAATGATCACCATGAGGACCACTTTGTAAGCCTGGCCTTCCCGTCAGTGTCCAAGGGGAAATGGGTCACCAAGCCTCACTTTCCATCAGTCAGAATAATTACTTTTGGTGTTCATTACCCAAACCCTCTAAACTCTTTAAGTATAAACAGTTGCCTAATCCATAGGTTCAACCAGGCATCCAGACAAAATGCGCCCTAAATAGAAAAGGAAACAAGCAAAAAGAAAATACAATAGAAAAATGTATTCTCTTAGTTAGTTCAGCAAAAATTACTCTGGCTTGTGCCTTACCAATCATAGATGAAAGATGTAAACAACACCAGAAATCATCCTTTCAGCAGAGATGTCAGTCATAAATGAGGTTTCATCATTTATATGCTTGTCCAAGGTGGTAATTTAGAACTACTGCTACAAACTCTGGCTGTATCCAGCATGATAATTAAATGGTGAGCAGATGCTTGGAAGTAAAAGTTTTCTCTGGGCTGCTAGGGGCCTCCGGACAAAGCTATCAGGCCCTATAAACCATTCGTTTAAGAACAGAATTGTCAGTGCAGCCACAGTCTACCAATCTGCTAAACATTGATGGGCATTAGCCATGACATTACAAATATGAACCATTTTAAGAAAAATAAACTCTCTCAGAGACATAATCTGTTTTGCTTTTCTTTTTCCGGATCTGAGCCCACTCTGAATATCTTAAAGCAGCAACTCAAAATTAATTCACCAGAAAAAAGAGAGACAAGCTAATAAAAATTGTATTTATAAGCTCACAGCAAGAAATATGTGCTTAAAATGGGATTTATTCTTTCTTATTGCTATTGGAATGGATGCTTAATTTTCTCCCTAAAA